CAGGACGCAGCTCGTCACAAATGAAATTTATAGACACGACTCAAAGTGACAATGACAATCGAAGAGAGCTCGAGGTCCAGTATAATCACAGCCAAAGGGCGTTAGAGCAACGTGTGCGAGTGTGTGCGGGGGCGGTGACCGGGCAAGTTGTCAACATTTATTACACACACACATGCGGCTCGCACACCTCTTGATTATGCTGCGTACTGTTTTATGCCTGCAGTGCGACGTGTTGACGACTTTGATGAGGTTTGAGTTTTGGGGTTGTTGCGTTTTTGTTGTTGCCCGGCTCATCTTCTACTTTTTATGCCTCAAGTGGACGACGACGCGCTTAAGTGGCTACATGCCACCTACCCCAACCACGTCTCTCCCTCCCACCTCTCTAAAGCACTCCTCGCTGCGTTTTGTCTTAATTCAATCGATAGTTCACACATGTAATCGCATGATTGGGGGCTTCCTGCTTTCTATTCCCAGCCTTTTCTTCTTCTTTGTTGTTGTCTATTTTTATCGTGTTTGCATGCCGCACACGTAGCGGCGACATTGTCTCAGGGTGGTATGCTATGGCGGTGGGCGTGGCTGTGGGGTTGACTTGTTCTGGTATTCCACATTTTTGACTTTAACCTTAAATCGTTAGGATGGCTTCATTTGGCCGCTTCAAGCCGCGAGAGATATTCACACATCAAACTTTCCTCTCTCTTACTTTGTTTTAGCTACTCATTAGGCTAATGAAGCGCTCCACTTGCCTCATTCTGTGGCATACTTCAAAAGCTCATTAGTTCATTAGTTGACGTTTTTCCGGCACAAGTTTGCTGCAAAAATATGCTCGTAAATCTCAGGCATTAGGAGGAGGACAGCAGCTGCAGAGGCAGCAGCATGAAAAAGCAAAATTTATCGCGCCAAAGGACAAGTGCCAAAAAGTTGTAGCCAGCGCTTATCAATCATTGACGTATATGTGATGGGAAAACAGCTAGCAAGGAGAGTTGACTAGACAGAGGGCTATTTACTCCAAAGTTGCTAACGAATACTTGTATAAAAGTTGGCTAAAAACTTTCAATTTGATTGAAAGCAAAAGGTTCCTCGATAATGATTCAAATATTGCGTGTGGCATGTATTGGAAAGGATTTAATTTATATACATTTAATTTATACACAGAGTAAAGATTGTCTGAACAATATTTGGCATAAATTTCGGTTTAGTTTTTAAATAAAGCACCCTGTACCCTGTACTTGCCACGTGGCAAAACCTTCCATTAATGGGCGAGAATTAATAAATTCTCTACCCGCACAGTTTTTGAGCGACGATCACCAAGCTTCGACAGTTCCTTAAATCAGTTCAGGCAGATCCTTATTCATTCATCATTTATTCCATATATTATTATTAATTATCAATAATTCCATTTATTGTTGCATTGCTTCAAGAATTAGTTCATAATAATTATTATTACAACATCTAATGGTTGTTAATTGCTGCTGGCTTTGCTTACGTCAATTTCATCTAAAAACAAAATGTATAAAAAAATAATTAATGAAAAGAAAATGTAAATTGTTATTCGACACTTCCTGCTTGACAGCCAGAGCTAAAGCCAGGCCCAAAACGACAAGCTATAAGCAAGTCAATAATGAAAACCGAATGAAATCTAAATAAAATGGCCAGTTCATTACATATACAATGCATACATATATATATATATATATATATATATATATACATATATATGTACATATATATACATGCATGCAATAAATCAAATTCGACAAAAATTTGAACGCGTAGACGACTTGGTCTCCATTACATAAAGTCGAGCCGATGATGTCCATGGAGTTTTATTTGGGGTTCGCTAGAACACAGGAAATTCATAAAACGTGCAGAAATAATAAATGATAGGAGTCCACGACTAGCTGACACTCTTCACAATCATTCCAGCAATCTAGACGCTCTGTTCTTCAGTGCATAAAGATGTTCAGAAATAAGAATGCACGACTGGCATATACTCTTTGAAGTATTTTGCAACATTTTAACAACGACTAACAAATGCTCTCTACAGACCGACAATAGCTTTATATTTACAGAGTATAAGGTACTGAAATAACCGATCGTAGTGGAGCATACGCCAGTTGGTCAAGCAAAATCAAAATAAACAACTGAAAAGTTTGGCCTGGCATATTCCAAAATATTTTATTAATAAACGAGATCCACATCTTGTCCACTTCACCGAATTACGCGGAGCCTTCAGCCGGGATCTGGCCTGATTTGTTTATAAGCAAGCGACGTTTATGCCTTCTGTTTTTATCCCCGTCTGATTGTTAATAATTGTAATCCAATCCCTCGATCGCCTGCTCTTGCTGCTCTCTGCTGTTGCACATTACGGGCTCAAGTGGTACTCTTTTTTTATTCAATTTGTTTATTGACACAATTTTGGATAGGGTCGGACTTGGACTTGGCATCCGCTAAAGATGCTGAAGCTGGAGCACAGGCTGTAGCCGAGTCGCAATTTGTTTACTTTGACGTATCGAGTTTTGCAACTGTTGCTGGTGGTCGTTCACTTTATGAATTGCCGACAGACCACACAAAAACCCAGTTCCATGAAATCGGTGATCGTTATCATACAGTTATGGATCAACCATACCTTATCGTATGTTGGGGTGTGATGAATATTGTATTGAGTGCATTTCCTTTTGCTTGCAGGTGCTGGCATCTGAGTTAAATATTTCTGAACCTCATTGACAATTTAACACTATATATTCACAGTCTAAGCCAAATTCATTCATAAATATTCACTTTGAGTCTTGAAAGATAAACTTCTTTCAAGTTTTAAATTTAATAAATGCTTAAGCACTTTCAGTAAATAAATAGTTATTATGTTCTTCTTTTGTTACCAACTACAGCTACTATGGGAATGTTGTTATTAATATTAAAATTTCCTATATATCTTATATGCTTAATTTGTTTCAAAGCTGAGTCCAAAAAGCGCCTCTCATTGCATCATTTTACTCATATTTAAGTGCTTCAATTTTGCTTACATATTTATAGGTCTGGCTGTTGCTAATATATTATAACAATATGCCAAAATTCCAATATGTATAAGCCCGAACTGAATCTGAACCTCCAGTTATTATGATTTTATATTTCGAAAAATCATTAAATATATATTATTCACTCTTGACTGTTAAAATTGCAGTTAGGCCGTTGCTGGATAGAAGAACTCTCATAGTTTACCAGAAAGATAATTAATTTGTAATTGATAGACCGCTTATTCCTTATGGAAATCTTGTGATATATACAAAATTAAACTGTAAAAGTTTGTACTGAAAAATAGAATTTGCATTGGCTCAAGTATTTCTGGAGCGTTTAATAAAGTATTTTGAAATTCCTGAAAAAATATGCTTATCAAATTAAAATATATTTTTCGTTTTGAGTTAAGAACACATTGATATGGTTTTATTTTTTGTAATTTTTTTATGTTTGCATTTATTACTAAGTTTTCATTATGCACACTTAAGATCTATTCACAATTGTTGTCGTATTCAGTATCGTATTCTTGAACATGTTTTTCTACTCAATTTTTAGCTTTTATTTTTGACTTTACTTTATTTTTTATAGAGACAAACATCGAATCGTTAAGCTTAGAATTTATACAATTTGCTTTGTATTTACATTGTTTTCTGTAGTAATAGGGCTTCCATTGCATTAATTACATTTATTAGGACTTGGTGTGTTCTTGCTTTAAGTTTAATCAACTGTTTCAAGTGCTTGTGTTTAAAACATAATACAACCTTTAGTTTAAAGTTTATTTTATTGCATTTGCATGGCATTAAAGAAGTTGCTATGGGTGCGGGTGCGGGTTTGAGTGTGGGTGTACGATATGGATACCAAATGAAAGCTTCTGCTATGAAACATGCTACACAGCTATTAAGTCTAACCCTATGTAGTTAAAGGGTATACGATATTTGTTGTTGTTGTTGTTGCTGTCATCGGTCATCTTAATACTAGAAAAAACTAAAGCTAGAACTAATCAACAAATAAGCGTGTGTTACTAACTCGTAATTTGTAATACAATGTTGCGATCGATCGATCGATCGAACGATCTGATTGATCATTAATCAGTAGCTGACAAAAAAGTTTGTTTAATGTTTGAATTACTTTATTTATAATCAATAATTTGAACTATGTGTTCGGGATGTGCGATCTCCACTCTCTCCTGTTTTCTCTCTCTCCCACTAAACGAAAATGATTATCAGCCAAACGTTCGATTTAAATCGATTCGTGTCGTATCGATCAGTAACTTAACAAGAACTTACAAAATTAGTTTGAAAATCTTTTATTGTCACAAATTGAAAGTGAAAATGTTTTTGCATTTCTTTTTGTTTGTTGCTTAAATGAATGTTGAAATTTGTAAATGCATGAAAAATACCATTTTTTGCAGTCGCTAAATAATCCACATGTCCCTCCTGAAATAATCCACATGTGTGAAAAACCTTAATAGTGTGTTATTTCGAATTTGAAAATAATTTTCACGCAGTATGATACAAATTCTGAAAGTGATTTAAGATTGCCTAAAGCTTGTGCTTCATTTAAAAAGTATAATCACAAATACTTTCTGTACCTTGTTTTTCATTGAATTTATAAGAAATTCATCATATATTTAAAGAGTAGTGACAATCAATTTAGAAAAGTCTAGTTCTAAAAAGTTTAAAAGAAGCTGGCGTAAATGAACCTATTATATTTTCCAATAGTGAAAACTAATTTTATTCTAATTTCGTATCCTCATTAAAATTTTATAAAATTTGATTTTTGAAGTATTTATATTGGAGATATTGAAAGATATTTCATTAGAAAAACTATTTTTGAAATGATTTGAGAAACAAGAACAATTTGCTGTACCCGTAAAATAAATGTTAAATGATATTATCAGACATATTTGTAAAGCAGTTGCTGTCTTAATTAAAGTTTGATTGCAAATCATTTAATAGCTATCAAAAATATTTAAAATATTTGTCACGAGAAATTTCTTATGTAGCTTTGTAGTAGAAACGGAGATAAGTTGCAATGTGAAAAGTAACGTGGAAACATTTTAATTGCGCCCATTTATAACATATCTAAATATGATGCAAGTTCCGTTAAAAAGAAAATCTATTTTAATGGAAATTTAGCTAATATGCCTTCTTCTTCACCTGTGAACATTTACTCTTATACATTATATAAAGGGAAATAGAAATGTTGTTGGGAACTCTTTTTCACCTGTGGACTATTTCAAGATGTCATTTACCAGCTCTAATTAGTTGACCACCTGCTGGGGTGGCCACTGCGAACTCGGATGTGGATGCGGATGCGGATGCGAATGCGGATGCGAGTGCGAGTGCGAATGCGAGGCACGATGTTGCTGCGGCTGCTGCAACGGATGCGAGTTATTTGAGGTGGAAGCTGTTGAGGCCGCCGCCAGTTGGCGTCATAGATAAAACTCTGGGGAACTTTGACTGTCCGCACCACCGGCGGCGCCCGTGCTGCTTCTTTGCTGTTGTAGGCGCTGCATTAGACTGTCCCGTTCTTGGCAGACGCGTGAATACTCCAGCTTCAGTCGATGCAGATCCTGATTGAGCTGACGATTGGCCTTTTCCAGTTCGTGACGCTGATGCAGACGTTTGGAGCGGCAGTTCTGTGCATAGCCACGATTCTTGAGAGTCCGACGTTTCTGCTTCAGCCGGACAACCTCTTCGCGTGGGCAACCATGCAGTCGTTTATTTAGCTCCCGAACCGTCAAAGTGGTCAGCATATCATCGTTGATGCAATCCTCGAGCGTGGCATTGCTGTAGGCGCCAGAGCAAGTGTGAGGCGAATTATTGGAGCTCCTCGTCGAGCTGGCCGAGAGCGGGCGATACGGCTGTAGAATCGATCGGACACAACCTCGTGAATTGGAGGCGCTGCTGGCGCCGCTGCTGCTGCCCGCTGAGGGCACATGAGGTCCACAATTGGTGATCGTTGGATACAAATTACTAGGCGGAACACTGACCGGACCCGGACTGCCCGCACAAGAGTTGGCTGAATTTGAATGCATATTAATGGGCAAAGCATGCTCCAGACTATGGAAGTGCGGATGATGAGTGGGATGTTGTGCTTGTGCCATATGCCTGATGGCATGATGATGATGGCTCTGCATCAGTGTATGTCCATGATGATGATGTGCAGCCGCTGCAGCGGCATGCATAGCATACTCCCGCTGCCGTTCCCATTCTTCAGCTTCCTCCTGAGAGCCCGGGCACGCAAGTGGACGCAAGTCCAATGGCTGCTGGTCGGTGCGCATCGAATTGGGCAGCCACATCATCTCCTGGCTAAGACCCACGGTAGCTACATTTGCGCCCGAGTTGCTGTTGCGTCCGGCATGGTAATGATGTGCATATGCCTGACTGGGACAGCTGCTGCTGCCATTTGGAGAGCCCACCACGGGTGGCGTCTCCGGTGGAGTGGAGGGTACACCACCAGGTACCGCTGACGCAGCCACAGCAGCGGCAGCGGCGGCTGCAGCAGCAGCTGCTGTTGCTGTTGTGCCGGACGTGGTATTAACCAGCACCGCTTGTCCGCCCATTGGACCGCCTACATATCCCTCGGGCGGCGGACTGAGTGGCTGTAACCGACGCTCATCCATATGCCACTGATGATGGCCTGAGAAGGAGCGCAGCTTAATGTGCGATACAGATGCCAAGGGTTCAGCACCGGGTACGGGATCCGGCACAGAAATTGGAAGCGGCAAGGGTAGTGGCAGAGGCAACGTTTCCGTTTCATCATCTGCTGGCGGCTCGGCGCTATGAACTGTTGTCCATTTTATCGGCTGAGGCGGGCTGTGATCTTCGCGCTTCACATGCCCGATGGCGGCGGCGGCTGTGGAGGAGATGGTCACAGGTGTTAGGGTTGTCACCGAGCTGTTTGTAGTATTGTTGACGCCCAAATGATCCAAGTTAAAATCCTGCACATATGTGTCGGCTATGGTGGGATCCTCCATTTTCATTGGATCGCCGGTTCACATGCAACTTGATTGTGGGGTGGGGTTGAATACGGGGTATGAGGTGGGTGGGGGCAGCTGTAGTCAACAGTTAACAAGGGGCTCACTCACACACACTGGACACACCTTTTCGTTAGGGGTCACACTGCACTTGACTTTGCTTGGTTTAAGCTCCAAAAATTATTCAAATATCTTTTAAATTTGTTGTCAATTTTGTTAAATTTTGGCGCGCCCGTATTGAATTTTGTTTTCTTATATTTTGTTATTTTGATTATTTTTATTTTTTTGCCGCTCGCTGCGTCCAGTTTCAAAGAGTTAACGGTGGCGACTGAGTCTGAGTCTAGCCGTATGCTCGACTGCAGGGTGGCCCTGGCTGCAGAATGGCCGACGCGCGCATCGTTTCTATAGTGCTAATATGTGTATGTGTATGTGTATGTGTATGTGTACATGTGCCCAAGAGCAACAGCAGTAGCTCCACACGCTGGTAGCTTGCACGCCATTCGCTGTTGAGCTCCTGCTGAAATTGCAAAAGCTTAGCCGCAACAACAACAGCAAGAATTGTGAGTGCGAGAGAGCGAACATTGGGCACCCTTTAACCGTTAAAGTTATTCGCGATTTGCCTTTGGCGCTCTCTCGTGTGCATGTGAGAAAGCCTCTCATTTAGTGCACACTGTCCCGCTGATTAACAAACACTAACGCAATTTGTGTTATTAAGATCATGATCATTTTTAATCTGTTATATTAATATATGTTGAGGGCATAAGTATTTTACATCTTGATTATATTAAGAATTAATAAAATTTTACGAGCGTCAAAGAAACATAATAAAATTTTTATGAGGTAAAAAAATGGAAGTACAAAATTTGCACCTATCACAGTTTTCAATATAACTTAAATGTAAGTTAGTAACTTTTCGTGTAAACTTAACGGTTTGAACAGGAGTAAGCATTCACTCTACTTTCGGTGTCTTTACTCTTTTCTCTTGCCCCACTGTAAAGGAATAACACGAGCACATGGAAAGCTGTGTTTGCTCTCGCTTTTGCAGCTTCGGCTGTGTTTGTCTGATTTCTGTTGACTTCGTCGCTTGTCGTCATTTGCTTTGCTTTTGGTGGTGGCTGTTGTTCGGCTTGTTGTTGTTGTTCTTGAAGTAGGCGTTTTTGAATTGCCGTGGAGCGCATAAAAAACGACACTCACACAGATATATGCTCGGTAAGCATATAGCGTATAGTCCACACATACAAGCTAACCTTATGCTGCCACGGCTCCGCCCACTTGCTGCTGACCATGGCTTGTAAGTGTAGCATGTGTATGTGTGTGTTTGTGTGCGCGCATATTTATGAGAAACTACCACAGAAATTCCTACATAGCCGACTTTCCAGTAGTCTGACAAACGTTTCGGTTGGCGCTTGCATTGGAAATATAGCAGAGCACCAAGCTGTGGAGCATCCTGTAAGGGGCTTCCACTGTTTCAGTTTTCCAGTGCATAAGTCAAAGGGAGATATTTTGGTGTTGATAAGTCGCTCGATTTGTTTTGCTTGGAGCTCACTGCATATACATATGCACACATATATATGTATATGTATATAGGTATGTATGTATATGTAGCAGTATTTGTGTTTGCTTTGGCTTGGCTTGTGCAAAGGATTTTGGACCGAACTGCACAGGTGCATTTTGCTGACTTGACACAAAATTCGGGCGCTGCCTTAGAGTTGGCCGTATTCCTTTTGGACATGGGCGTTGAGTGTTTTTTTCCGCTTGTTATTTTTTATTATTTTTATAATTTTAATTTAATTCCTTTGCTGTGCAAATGTTTTGGATACCTGAAACTAAACAGATTTTATATTTCGGCTATGTATGAATATTGTGAGCTCTTTTATGGTCAAAAACGTTCATGCAACAAGTTTTTTATTATCGACGGGGCTTGTCACAGAGGGACTGTAAATGTGGGCTAACAATTGATTGTTAAAAAGCCAAAAGAAAGTGGCAAGAGAATTGTTTTTAGATATTTGACTTTATTTCTAAGAATGTTTACTTGATATGAAACCTAACACCAAATTATATATCTGTAGAGCTAACAATCATCAAATGTAAGTGACAGCAAGAGCTTATACTGCATCCAGTGAATGAAAAAATAATTCGTAACTATTTTTTATTTTATTTTTTATTCTGCAACAGAAATAAAAATTATTATAACTTAAAGCTTCACGTGACATGATAGCATTATTATAAACTTTTATTAGGTACAATACGTAACAAATTTTGCATTATATTGTAAGGATGTAACTTTGGTAGCTCTCGAAATTGACTTGCAGACAGATTAAAATACAAACGAATAAACTGTTGACCATAGCTAGATTAACTGATAAGAGATAAATATTTTAAGTAGTAGGCCGCGATATCTAAACTTTCTGCATGTCAAATAAGTCAAATTTTATATTCTTTTTCGATGAATAGATTAATTTGCTTCTTCTTTTAAAACGATACCTTAACCCAATTTAGCTTTAATTTAGGAATATACATATATTATAATATGTATGTTTCTTTTTTAATATATCTTATTATTATGATGCCTAATGTAGTAGATATTTAGTAGTCTTTCCTTAGCATTAAGTGACACTTATCTGAGTTTGGTAAACTATCTGTTTAACTACACCCAAATCTGGAGAGCTACAAAAAACTGACCACAAAATCCTTGTATGCGGCTGTTCGAATCTCGAAGCTTACCCTTAGACAAAAAATCACAAAGTCCCAATCCCCGTCCTGATTTCCAGTAGAAGGGGGCCAGAAGCAAGTGTATCCCGCCAGCAGGAAACATAAAACAAAATCAAATCAACTGCCGCCTCGCCCAATTCAAGCACCATATCACACACACTCACACTCACACCCATTCGCCTGCACACACACACTCACACCCACACGCACACACACAGGCACATATAGCTCGCCATTGTCGAGAAGGGGCAGATCCTTTGGGCTTGGATTGCTGTGCCACTGGAGCTTGTCAAAATTAAATTGAACACAATCGAATTATACTCCTTAGCATGCTCCATTTGCTTTTTTTTTTTTGTCGAATACCCTGTAATATTGTTGACATATGTAATATATAAAAAATAGAAATATAAAAAATATTGATTTTAATCTCAACTATAGTATCTCCCTTATTTGGTCTAATTTTAAACGTAAAGAAGCAACGGATTGCTTATTCGTATAAAAATATATGAGGCAAATCATGTCTATAACAATTTGAGTTAAAATATCTCTAAGAAAGTATCTCACTGTTAAATTCGGCGCCTTCAAAATGTATTGTGGGAAAAATATGTGAAACGCAGACTTTTAAATAAATTTTGATTTATCGCATATTGATCGAGTTTTATACAACTGTTAATTTAGAACATATTTTATTATTACTTCTTTATTACAGGGCATCATGCAGTCGACTCCCACTCCACTACTGCTATGTTTATCGTGTTTTTTTTTTTGTTCCTCATTTGGCTCCGACTGTCTCGACTCTTGCGTTCAGGCTGCTGTGATTTAAACGTTGCGGTTTGCAATGTGGACGAGAGTCAACATTTATTTCGGATTCGGATAGACAACAACAACAAATGATGCACTTAGCCATATTAAAAAGGGTTAAAGGTGTGCAAATATTTGCTAGCGGCCAATTAAAATATTTTAATAATCAGCGGAAGCTGAAGCGAGTCGGACTGACTAACGGAGGCTAACGAGGCCAAGCAGGTGGCAGGTGGCAGGCGGCAAGCGGCAAGCGGGCAGGCGCCAGGACACGTGTGCCCTTTTAAAGGAAAGGGAAAAGGAACTGGATGAGACGGCAATCGTGAGCTTTTGTTCTTTTATTTACTTTTAGCCCTCATGCCGAAAAGTATGCTGCGTTTTTTATTGAAGTTCATTCGCAACTAATTCGCGGCTTAAGTGCTGCGACTTTTTCTATTGACTTAGACCTGAAACTAGAGATGTGTGCGTGAGGTACTGCATACACGAATACAAAACAACATTTCGAGCAAAGAGTAACACGTAAAATTATAAAATTGGGCAACCCTAAAATATGCGATACACGATTTTCGATAATTAATCAAGCATATACGATGTACTATAATGAATCTAATCATATATTATATAAGAATTCTATTTTTATTTTAAGGCATTTGTAGTCGTGCTTTTTCGTGTCTCGAAACAAACTTATATTGAACTAAATTCTATTGTAAGCGTGAACAAATATTTCAAAAGTATACGATAGTTGACAAATATACTATATAAGCGATATGAATCATATTTGCCATTTAATATAATGCCGTAGATTAATTCGTGATTCATATAATTCTGTCTGTCGTGTCGCTTCCTGCCCCGCCACTCATCCCATTTGTATGCCCCATTTGCAGATGTACGTGGTTCTGTTGTAGCCATTGTCATGAGCTATATTCAGTCAAATATTTGCATGACGAGTCCTTTTCAATTGCATTTCAATTGATTCCCGCATATTATGTGAAATGTTTATTACGCCGGATTAGGCAGCATTAAAAGCGCATAGTTCTCCTCTTCCCTGCTCCGGCTGGATCTTTACTCTGCCATATGATGTGATTGATTCTCAGCCAGTCAACCACACAAACACGTGCACACGCAGGGACCCTCGCTTCATCTCCTGGAGTGCACTTTAAACATGGCGAAACATCGTGTTTTATCACAAATAATTTCTGGTAAATCAACAGAAAATCGATTGACAGTGTTGACAGCGACTGAAGCATAATAAAAAAAGATGTATCCTTGCCTCCTTCTCCTTGCAAGCCCGCCTTTCGTTCCTCTTCTATCCACGTGAACTGCAGCCAGCGGGTTGACTCGACGGGGCGGATTTAATCAGAAGGAATGTGAGGGATGCGCATGAAACGAGGAAATCGATATCAAGTGAATTTATCCAAATATACGCGCTTGGCCTAGCAGCTGTGTCGCATACTCAAGATCTAAATAACTGTTTAACTGTTATACCCAGCTTGAGAATCTATCATACTGGTCTCATGCAATTTTTGACAAGACAGTTATAGCTAGTTATACGGAAGTTTAATAACCTTTGCAGGTGTTATATACAAACTAAGATACGTTTTTTTCAAATTGCAATAAGGCAATGCTTAAACCGAGTTTGGAACCTGGCTTTAATAAGAATACGAATTGTCAAGCTACTGGAATACTGTAGTCTGTATCTCCCTCTCTTAGCAACACCCAGCTAAGATGCAAACTCCCTCGGATAATATAATATTTACAAGCTCTAAGCTTCACAGTAGGATGTTGCCTCGTCCTGCCTGATGGATT